TTTATTCACGAAGAATGTTAATTAATTAGAAGTCACGCGTGGTTGTCTTTCGTAATTTTTTCTTTATATATATATATATATATATATATAAAATTTATTTTTCTCAGTAAAATAAATAAAAATGAATTAGCACTCGCGGAAAAACTTCGAGGGAGGAAAGAAAAAATATAACGGGATGTCTCCTCATTGGTAGAAATGATCTTTGCGCATTGTACATGCGCGCACAGTACGAGAGAAAAAAAAGAGAGAGAAGAAGGATTAATATCGGCGATGCTCGAATTACTTTAAACGAGACTACGACAAAGGCGGGCTCGATCCGGCCGAGGATATAGCAGAGTGCACGACGAGCTCGTACTTATTTCCGGAACGCTGTCCTTTTTCTCTCGTTACGAGGACGGAATTACATACTCGAGCGAACGAACGCGCGAGCCCGCGAAACGGTGAAATTTATTTCACGGCTTCTGCTACGTGCTTTCCCTCTCGCTGACAAGACTCCGTTTCGTCCGGGACCTCGTTCGATCTTTCTTTTTCTCTCTTTTTCTTTTTTTTTTTTTTTTTTTTTTTTTTTTTTTTTTTTTTTTTTTTTTTTTTTTTTAATTTTTTCATTCATTTTTCTTTCTCTCTCTCTCTCTCTCTCTCTCTCTCTCTCTCTTTTGCAATTTCTTTTTTACCTTTACTTACTCGTAATAACTATCATAATCTATCGCTCTCATTCGTCTATCTATTCCTTCGGTATATTATGTTTCATTTGATATTAGAAAGTGCAAAAAATTCGATTAATCTTAATTCATCTTATCTGTTTGCAGAACATATTTCAATTAATTATGGTTATTATTCGTTCGATTCGGTATTATTTAAACGCTACTTTGGTATATATTTATATTAAATAATATCGTCAGTATTTATAATGGAATATCAGTAATCCTATATCAATTTAGACGCAAAACAGATGCAACAATTAATATGTAATTATTTACACCGACTGAAAATATTCATATATATGTGTGTGTCTGTGTATGCATTGACTATTTATTTTACAAAATACTTGGAATTAATTAATGAAATACTGATCAAATAAATTGAATTTAAGTGATTAATTGTATCCAGCATTTCTTTGAAACTGATTGATGACTCAACAAAATAGGAGAAACAAAACAAAAAATATCTTTCGAAGATTCTCCAAAGCACTTGGAGATGATTCCAAGTCACTTGTAATTTTATTTTTATTTTTTCTCTCTCTCTCTCTCTCTTTCTCTCCCCTCCCCTTCTTCTGTCTGCTTGTCCTTCTCTGGCTTCGAAGAATTTTTTCGAGAAAATCCCCTCGCTATCTCCCCTCCTTCTTATCCAATTCGAAGATTTTTCAAGTATATCGTATAAGTTTCCCTATGATACCCTCCGGCTGGACTTAGCGTTTCGAAGTCGTCGGATAATTTCAGAGTGTCCTCGTTTCGACGATGATGATCAGCCGGAATTTTCTGGAATAATCCGAGGAAGCTGAGAGTTTAGAGCTACTCGTTCTATAACATATACCTACATCTCTAAGATTTTAGAAATTATTCGTCAAAATATTTTGCGAATTTCGAAAAGATGACAAATATGCATTACACGAGTCTCCATATCTGTTACGTTTTGTTACATCTCGTTGGGCATCTTGTTTATTTCATTTTTCACGATTAAATCAATTTATGGATGTAACATACAATTATATAAATCATAGCGTTTCATTCTTTAAAATCTTTATCCGCAGGAATTTCACGTATAATAATTTAAAATAATATTATGATTAATGGGAAAAAATTTTCAATCTATATTCTTTATTCTCTTTTTCCCTTCAGCAATTGTGAAAATATTGATTTAATCGGTTTATTATAAAATTATTATCATCGGACCAACGAAGTTATCACGCGTTATCGAAATTTTCTAATCGGGAAGAGACATTTCTTTTGACAAATTTTCGTAAAAGGATTGAGCTATCGATCGACACGTCAATTACGAAAAGAGAAAGTATAGACATAGTTAATTAAAATTAGATACGCGTTCGCATGAAATGCGCGTTACATAATGATCATCTGTAAATTACGTTTTCAAATAATGTTACAAAATTTTTCACCGACAAAACCTCTCTTTCTCTCTCCCCCTTGAGCTCGGTTATTCCAATAGGTAATACTTTCTTATTAATATACAGAGAAAGAACTTAACACGTTACGTCATTTCATATGAATTTATCGTATCGCGAATTTATACATATCGAAATTAATCGGTATAATATATGGAAATGAGAAGAAGGAAATATTAAAAAAAGTTCGATAAGTTATAAGGTAAGAAGTATAAAAATGTTAATTTGATTGAGTCGACATGTTCGAACTTTAATATTTTTCGATCGACGACGTAAAGATATGACCGACTTCCTTACTCGTATGTTTACACGGGAAAAAAAAGTCTTTCGTCGCAATACTTGTCGTATTGCGGATCGATCGACAGGTCTTAGCGATAAGTACAG